GCGGACGTGTCGATGCATCGGATCATCGGCTGTTGGATCGATGCATCGATACAAAACGATTATTATTTACACCCCTAGTATCTCAGCCACCCCTGGTCACCCCTTAGCTCTGCCCCTGCTGCTCTGGAAGACACACAGTAGAAACATCCTAAAATTTTAGCAATGTCTTCAACAAGAAGCAACCAAACAGATGGGACTGCCTTCTCCAACCGCATGTTTTATTAAAGAAAACTTAATACACTCTCACAAATTCTGACATAGTTTAAACAGACAGGTCTACATGCACACGCAGTGATACTATGCAAACGATGAACCAGCTGTAGGGCTTTAACTCCTGGAGGCTGCCTCTATTGTGCTTGTTTGTCCAGAGATCTAAGGAGTGCAGTGCATCTTCTTAGTGAATAGTGCAATAGTCTGATGGCAGTATGATGCACTCAGTCATTCTTGTAACATCAGCAAACCTCTAGGGGTTGTTTGATTGGATAACCCAAAGTACTTATAGGTCCACCAGAATCATTATCTTGTATCAAGTTTTCCAGTTGCCAGGCTTTTAGCTTTTGCACAGAAATGAAGCAGATTTATATGAACAAGCAAACAAGAAACATGACAAGAACAAGTTAATATAAGCACATCTGTAAACTTGGAAAAAGTGGGAGTTTTTCCATGTTCTGGCTGAATGTTCCGTGATGAAGAAGAAACACGTTAAGTGCTGCTAGAAGTCCGTTTCCAGGTAGCATTCGAGACAATCCTACTCGGAAAATTAAACTAATGTCCTTCTCTAAAAATGCAAAAACATCTGCGGCCAAAGCTGGTCCTGTTGTAACATTTAAAGGTTGAGGATGCATTGCCAGAGAAGTGCGGCGGTCTGTTCAGCAGATGAAAGCACATATGGTCAGATGAGTCATTGTTCCCTTGGTTTCCGCATGTGTTCAACACAAAGGGGGAAAATGAGGCTAGCATTTGTTCAAGATTCTTTTCACAAGGAAAAGAGAAATCCGCAGCACAGCAGGTACATACAGGCTAAGAATAATAATCCAGCTTTGAGTCTTAGAGAGTCAGAGTAGAAAAGTGTTTGTTGAATTAAAGGGAGTCTTAATATTTTCTGTTTGCCACTGATACTATGGACATTTGTGAGGATAAACATCTTTTTACTGTCGTCTTGTTCAATCAGAGCTCTATTGTGATTGTCAAAGCTTTGATCACTAATAATTGTTAGAACTAAATAGATGATTTTACCTACAAAACAACAGTTGATCAGTTTTATCCATCTCATTTGAAATATCAATGCAATGTTCATAAGCTGTATGCAATGCAATTTCGTTCTGTATGCACTCTGTGCATACAAAATGACAAATAAAGAAGTCTAAGTCTTATGTCACTATTGGTATCTGTGGCAAATTCTTCATCACTGGTCTTTCACGTCAAAGCGTAATTAAAAAAAGTTAATTACAATAAATGAGGCCCTGAATCAAAAAAGCAACTTACTTTTATATCGCAGCAATTATGTTTATTATTTATTATTACATTTGTTTAGGATTGCCTTCGACTGTTCTAGTTAAAAAGTTTAACTAAAACATATTTTCTTTAGTCCAACTGTTTTTAATATTCTTTCTTGTTTCTGCATTTTTTATCTTATTTTATTTATTTTTTAATTTTTTCCTACTTGCTTTGATTCTGTTTTATCTTCCTGTATTTTAATCAAGTAAAGCACTTTGCATTGTCTTTGTACTGAATTGTGCTATACAAATAAATTTGCCTTGCCTTGCCTTGCCTTACCTATTACCTTCTATTATTCATCTCAGTAAAGATTCATTTCAAGGCTGCTTCAGTGTTGTTTTATGCAAATAAATGGATGACTCTTAACTTTCTGCTTCTGAATGCAGACAAAACAGAAGTTATAGTCTTTGGACCAGAGTCTTTGAAAAATAAGCTGATTAGTCAGTCACTTCATTTGGATGGGATTAAACTGATTTCAGATAATAAAGTAAAAAATCTTGGTGTTGTTTTTGATCAGGACCTGTCATTTAAATCCCATATCAAAGAGGTTTCTAGAATTTCCTTCTTTCATCTGAGGAACATTGCAAAAATTAGAAATCTCCTGTCCAGGGGTGATGCTGAGAAACTAGTCCATGCATTTGTTACTTCAAGGCTGGACTATTGTAATTCTTTACTATCAGGAAGTCCACAAACTGTAGTTAAGAGTCTTCAGCTGATCCAAAATGCTGCAGCCAGAGTTCTGATGAAAATTAAAAAGAGAGATCACATCTCTCCTATCCTGGCTTCTCTTCATTGGCTTCCTGTTAAATCAAGAATAGAATTTAAAATCCTCCTTCTCACATATAAAGCCTTAAATGGCCAAGCTCCATCTTATATCAGAGATCTGATTGTTCCTTATGTTCCTAACAGAGCACTTCGCTCTCAATCTGCAGGTTTACTAGTGGTTCCTAGAATTTCTAAAAGTAGAATGGGAGGCAGATCTTTTAGTTATCAGGCTCCTCTCCTGTGGAACCAACTACCAGTTTTAGTCCGTGAGGCAGACACCCTGTCTACTTTTAAGGCTAGGCTTAAAACTTTCCTTTTTGATAAAGCTTATAGTTAGAGTGGCTCAGGTTATCCTGAGCTATCTCTATAGTTATGCTGCTATAGGCTTAGACTGCTGGAGGACATAGGGACCCCCATTTCATCATTCTGCTTCATTCTCTTTCTATTCTCCTATTCTGCAGAATCTGTTAGTTCAATCTCTAACCTTCTGCTCTATCTGCTTTTCCTCAGAGTAGCTTTGCCTTGTCTGTTCCTGTTTGGCTGTGACGTCATCCTGGAAAGAAACATCAGCTGTGCTGTGACTGGGTGGATGTGCTTTCTTCGTCCTCTGACATGGGAGCTGGCTCGGAGCTCGTCTGCCTGGCTGTGTGTTTCCTGGACGGGGCCGCCTATTACAGCTGCTTTTGTGTCTCTGCTTCCGTCTTCTTGAACCCAGTCGGCCTCGGCAGATGGCCGCTCACACTGAGCCTGGTTCTGCTGGAGGTTTCTTCCTGTTTAAAGGGAGTTTTTCCTCTCCACTGTCGCTACAAGCATGCTTAGTGTGAGGGATTGTATTGAGTCAATGAGTCGATGCAATCAACTGGTTTTCCTTAGATGGAGAACTTTGTATCAATTTGACTTTATGATCTGGTTGAACTGTGAAGTGCCTTGAGATGACATGTGTTGTGAATTTGGCGCTATATAAATAAACTGAATTGAATTGAATTGAAATAAAGATAAAAAGACTGTTTTTTTTTCTTTGCATTAATCTTTGGTTTTTCCTTATATTCACTATGTTTATCCAAGAGGTGATTTATGTGCTTCTGGAAATCCTATAACTGCCGAGTTGCTAATTGAAATTCTGAGTTATGAATATTTGAAAGTCTGATGCGTGTCACTTTTAGAAATCTACACGTCCCTGAGCCTTTTATTATGCAAAACTAATAGACCCTGATAAATAATGTCGTAAACTTTTCCACATATAACGGAACATTTCTTCTGCAGAATTTCACTGAGAAAAAAATGTATTCACCTAAGTTGAGTTCACACCTGTTTCCATTATAAAAATGAGATTGGCCTAAAATGTACTTGACTTAACTTAGTTGGATTTTCCTGACTATTACAGCTACATGAGTTAAAGCAGCAATTTACAACTTTTTAATGCCTTAGAATAATCCTATTGTATAAATGTATCGATCAGAAGTGACATCAAAAATGCTTTCCATACCTATCTAAAACACAAGATGGAAAATGCCAATGGATGCTGAAGAGACGCTGATTGAAACAAAAGATAAGGGCTGGTTAAACTTGTCAATCTTTTCTATTCTCCATATCTCTAGGAGTTGTAGCCAGACTTAAGCATTCTGACAGGGTTATTTCCTCTCCACTGTCGCTACAAGCATGCTTAGTGTGAGGGATTGCTGAAGAGTCAATGAGTCGATGCAATCAGCTGGTTTTCCTTAGATAGAAAACTTTGAATCAATCTGACTGGATGATCTGGTTGAACTGGAAAGTGACCTGAGATGACATGATGTGAATTGGAGCTATAGAAATAAACTGAATTTAATTGAATTGAATTCAGGGAACTTTTGCAAGAAAATATAGATCCAGCAAATATTAGCAGGTCAAAATGTCTTTAACAATGTATTTGAATAAGGATGTAGCCATCTCTTTTGTCAACCCTCCCTCACTTCTGGCAAATCTATTTGCTTTTCAATTGCATTGCGTAGATAACTTGTCATGTTATATGTGGAAAATATTAAACATTACACATCATGGTGTCATTTTTAACATTAAATTGCATTTATAGACTTTTAAGTATCATAGCATTGTGCAGAAGCGCCAGGAGGATGGATTAAAAAAAATCATCAAATATCCCCTTAAATCTAGCTCTAAAGGTGAATCAATCAATGCTTTCATCTTTTCATCTTCTTTAGTATTAGACCCACATGAGAGGCACCAAAGATGAATGAACGTAGCTTCAGTCAGAAAAGAAAAGTTCTTTGGTTTTTCTGCTGTAACTCGGTAATTTAAGCTGCATTAAAGATCAGGGGTCTCAACTGAGGCCTGCCCCTTTAAAATAAAGTAGACTCGTGCAAATAGAGATGGTTTATTAAAGCTTTAAATACAAAATAACATTTAGTTAAGTAAATAAAACCTATAAGTCAACTGATATGCTACCATTAAATGGTTTATCTTTATTTACTCACCCATTTCACTCATTGAAACCCACCTTGTCACGGTGGTTCGCTAAACTAAGTTGTGCTAAGCCAAGCTAACATGCTGTGGCTATTTCTTTGTTCATACTTCATTTATAATATTATATGTAAAAGCGGGCGGGGCAGTGGGTAGCACTGCTGCCTTGCAGCAAGAAGGTTCAGGGTTTGATTCCTGGCCCCGGGTCTTTCAGCATGGACTCTGCATTTTTCTCCCTGTGCATGCGTGGGTTCTCTCCAGGTACTGGAGAGAACTTATGTTAGGTTAATTGGTTTCTCTAAATAGTCCTTGCAACCCCAGCAGAGAGAAGCGTGATGGAAAATGGATGGATGGATCTGTAAAAACCTCGATGTATAATGATGAAAATTCAGTTATTAAATCCTCCTAAAAACAATATTGTACCACTAAGTGTGGTTTTAAAGTTTGTTCAGTATTTGTTAGCATTAGACAAGGGTTTTTAGGTTTTAAAATGTTAGCTTGCAAGGCTTCTTTGCTTCGATAACCCTCCAACTATCTTTATCAGGTTTAAAATCTTAAATTAGGAAAAAAAAAACATGCCGTAAACCAGGAAGAAGTAGGTTTCAAATGAATTCTTCATTAATGAGCTAACAGAAATGTAGCCTACTTATCCTCTGGTGTGACAGACAGAGTAAAGGAGGTGTCACACCTCAAAGCTAATCTCTCTGGACTGTCCAAACAAGGGCTCTGTTGCCAGGTGCGTGTCTGAATATGCACGCCGCAGGTGTGTAGAGCTACAGGTGGTCTTGATGGCAACTTCATATGGTGGTGGGGGTTCCAGCCATGGTGGAGGTCGAGGTGCAGGGCTTAACCCGCCAGAGTCCATGGGTGGATAGTCAAGATCTGCACCGCGGGCTGCATTTCTGTGGCACTCCATCGTCCTGCAGCCAGGAAAAGTAGGACATGGTTTGAGAACAAAAACAGTCTCAGCTGAATCTGCCGTTTTTTGTATACCGAATTTTAAATACTGAATTTTTTTTAACAGCAAATTCCTTACACTGAAGTTTTATCTGGTAAAAGTTTGCAAAATTTCAGCTCCAAAATATTTACCTGAAAAAAAATCGACTGCAAATGTGTTGACCTTTTGTCGAACTGATGCCAAAGCAATCAGCTTCTAGCCAATGAAATGAGATCATTTGGTCATGTGACACAACAATTGGGCATAGCTTTGTTCCCGACTAAATGAGGCTTAATAAGAAGTTTTTCTTGTTAAAGGCACACTATGCTACATTTTTCAGTTAATGTGTTCCATAACGTTTTGCATGATTAAATGAGTCATTTCAGGTCAAACAAAGGTTTTCTCGGCCGCCCTGGTGGTCTGTAGGGGAAATACCGCACTTGCAATTGCAGGAGCCCTCGGCCCGCACCCACAGGCTCAGAAGTCTCGCAAGAGTCGGTCTCGCTTTACGGCGAGAACTGCTACACGCCCCCAGTGAAAGGGATGCGCGTTGCTAGCTCAGTGGCGATCTTTGTGCAGTTATCATGGAGGAACCAGCGAGAATTTTCAAACTCGAAAATTGGAACAAAATAGTCCCTTACCGCAGTAGTCATGGTGATTCGTTGCGTTCGCCTGTCTGCTAAGCTAAAAACAACCGCGCCTGGCTTGACGGAGAAACCAGGAGAACAGCTGAGCATATTTACGACAGTGCACTTTTACTTTCGCCCTCTGGGGGGAGCCTCGCTGGAAAATCAACACCGGTTGCATAGTGTACCTTTAAGTAGATATGATTACAAAACGTCAGGTAGCTACTAATAGACAGCCATTAGAGTTTTCCATCCAATGGGACTGGGTGAAATAACTGAGCCGAACACAGCTAGTGCGGCACCCCCGTCTGCCAAAACTTTTGGTTTGATCCGGAAGAAGCGGCCAACCGTAAACTTTTCTATTTCAGACCAAATGAGCTCATTTCATTGGCTAGAAGCTTCTTGACTGCATCAAGTGTAGATTGCTTTTGCTTGAGTTCACCAAAAGGTCAACACATTGGCAGGCACATTTTTTGCAACTGAATTTTTTTGTAGCTGAAGTTTCAACAGATAAAAATTCAGTGTTTACAATTTGGTGATAAAAAAATTCTGTGTTTAAAATATGAAAAAAAGGCAGATTCCAATGAGCTTCTCCATATGAGAACAAGCATTTAAAAGCTAATATAGATATTTCATTATGGTATATAGGATCTTTTATCATTAATAGCACTCAAAATAAAAAATAATAAAAATATTTAAAAAATGCATCAAAATAACCCAACATTTTGGAGTTGTTTAACATAGTAGTTATATTTTCAGAAAAAAGCTTACATGAAATTGATGACAAACATTTAAACAGCTGTGCTTCATAGTTTTTTTATAACCTCTCATTAAAGAAATCGATAAATTCAAAGTAGTAATTCAATTAAGACAAAACTGAAAAAAGGTAATGATACATAAACAATGTGCTAAATAATTATTTATTGAAATGAAATATTGATTTTGAATTTTTGGTTAGAAAAAAAAAGAAAATCCCAGAGAAATGAAAGTACCTTACTCAAGAACAGTGAACCAACATACCTGTCAGCAGGTGCAGAAGCCTGACTGAACGTTTCCTGAACGTTACAGAAAACACCTGATTTCACTCATTTTTTATCTATTTTACTGGCAGATATGGTGATGGACATCAGGAGAAGACCCCCACCTCACTACCCCGTGAACATCCAGGGGAAGGACATACAAATTGTGGAGTTTCAAATACTTCGGTGTAGACATCAATAATAAACGGGACGGGACTCATAACAGCGACGCCCTGTCTAAGAAGGGCCAGAGCCGCCTCCCTCCACCTCCTGAGGAGGCTGAGGTCCTTCAGAGTGAACAGGCCCCTGCTTCAAACCTTCTCTGACTATGTGGTGGCATCAGCCCTCCTCTACGCTGTTGTCTGCTGGCCCCTGGCAGCGCAGAGCGGGACAGAAAGAGACTGAACAAACTGGTGAGGAAGGCCGTTTCTGTCCTAGGCTGCACTCTGGACTCAGTGGCTGAGAGGAGGATGCTGTCCAAGCTTCCATCCATCATGGAGAACACCTTCCACCCTCTGCAGCAGACTGGAGAGGAGCTGAGCAGCTCCTTTAGTCAAAGACTTTTACACCCTGATTGTAAAAAGGAGCGCTACTGCAGGTCATTCATCCCTGCTGCAACCAGAGTCTACAATGAGACGCTACAACAGCAATAATGGCTGCAATGGAGAATGAGAAATTATTATTTGACACCCTGTGCAATAACTATATATATATAAATATAAATATTCTTCTATATAAATACCCATGTTAACACCCTCTGCAATAACCCTGTAAAATAATCCTACTATTATAAAAAAGCTGTGATATATCGAAGCAATGTCTATACTGTATATATCTCATGCACCTTTTTCTTCCTTTGGCACATTCCTCTTCTTCTTTGACTATTTGAGCTGATGTACGAATAAATTTCTCCACTGTGAGATCAATGAAGTCAGTAAATTTAATTAAAGGAAGGGTATGCAAACTATCAAGCACAACAGTGAAAATGTCATCCAATGTTTTTTTCTTTTCTTTTTTTTGAAACAAACTTTTTGGAACTTCAAACAAATAAATCCAAACTTTCAATAAAAAGCATTTGTGAGTTTTGTCCCATAAACTTTCACTGAGTTTATGCATGTTTTCCATCTATCTCATCATTTCTCTCTAAATCAACCTTATAATTTGGTCTTTTATTGTGCTCTTTTCTCTCCAGCTCACCCCACATGTGTTCTGGTTTTTGAATGGTCTTAAAAAAGAATTGAATTTGGGGAAAGATTTCTTTGATAAGGTAATGTGGAGGATTTTCGCAATTTCTAAAAAAAAAACACATCCCTATACCCGCTCCCGAGAGCGTGCACGAGCCCATTTCTCCTCGTGCACATTCTGTTTAAAAGTTGCTGTTCTCATAGCTTGTTCAAGCTCACTGTGTCCGACCATCCGCCCTAACCCCTAAATCCCTATATAGAGTGGGGACTATATAGTGAACTTTATAGTGAACTCAGTTAACTGAACACTACCTTTTGCTTCGTTGGTCACGTAACTCCTCCTCCACTGTGCGGTGCCTGCGCCATCTTTGTTATTAGTCGCTGCTGTTGGGTGGCGATAGCGGGCTGCTGTGACAGCAAATCCCATAATGCTTTGCGAGGAGAGCTCTCCGCGCAAAGCATTCTGGGATATATCTGCCTCTTCAGAGGCCTTTCTTTTCTTCTCATCCACTTCGTAGACACTTTTTCTCTTACGACCCTCGGCCATTTTCAAAGAACCGCAGTGAGAAAGGTGAGCTTCAATGACTGTCTGAAACCGTAGCTCACCACAGATATATGCCTGAAAGTGGGCAGAAAATGTTAGCTAACGGGACGAGCACGTAGGACGGCCTTATCTAAATTTATCATCAGAAGGATTGACAGTTAGGAGGACCACTGATTGAGACGATCTACCTGGAAAAAGAACCTGGTCCACTATACCTTTAAGATGCCCTCATATTATCATAATGATGAATCCGTTTCAGTTTTCTGAAGCCACCGAATACAAACTGGAAGCTTCTTTTGTCCAAAAGAGTCCATGATGCTATGAACACCAACCAGGTTCCAGGGGTCATCGCAAAGCAAACGGGCCAACAGAATCCCACATCTTCCACTGTTTCTTTAACAGGGCACACATTGGTGCTCTTCCAATTATTTCTCTTTTCACCTGAAGTTTATAATTTAAAAAAATCTAATCAGGAAATATCCTCAACTGTCTAACGTTATCGTTAAGTCCTCTATGGATCTGCGAGGATGAACGGTGAAACGTGGCAACGATTGTTTGAAAACATGTCCTAAGATGTTGTATGGGTTTCGTAGAGAGGAAAATTATTTGAGTGAGCGAACAGTCAGCGGGCAAATTTCATTAACTTAGCAAGCTGAAATCTGAACCTTTATGGAAAGGGCAGCATTGGGAAGAGCAGACTGATCGTTTAAAAAGAGATATCTTTCTCTACTCTTTGGATTTATCTACCTATATATATATATGGCTTTTGTTGGATAGATTACAAAATACATACTCATACTAGGGAAAACTGTACTGTCATAAGAGTTAATATTTGCAACCAGCTAATTTTTTTCTATCACCCACCTGGGCAGGAAGACTGACTGGGACTCAGGAAATCGAGACAGCTGAGGAGAGAAGAGACCGTGGCTGGGGTAGTTGGAGTAGTCGTTGTATGGGTAATGGGGACAGTCTGGGTCGAAATCCCGGTGGTTGTAGTTGCCTACATTTTTGCTGTTCATGGCCCAGAATAGTCCCAGGATGAGCATCACCACCCCCAGCACAACACAGCAGAGGGAGAAAGCTTGCAGGCGGCTTTGGTAGGAGGCCAGGAAGGCTGTGGAGCCTCCGGTCACAATGAGGAAGGCTCCGATGAAGATTGCTCCATGGTGCAGGGAAGGCATCCTTCTCAAGGACTGCAACCTGTCTCTGAGGGTTCTGCTTGGCTGGGACCGGCTGGATGGTGTCATTCACATATAAACAGCAGCACAGAGTGCGGTCCTCATGAGCTCTGGCAAAGACCAGGAATCCAGATGATTTACACCACAGTTACAGAAACCCTGGCACAGAAGTCCTCCTAAATCTTACTGTTAGGCTTCCATCATTTCCATCTGCATTAGTGCTAAAACACTCCTGATCATTTAGTCCATGTGTTTCTCCTCACTCCGTGGAACTCCGCTTCTGTTAAAAAAGGTTTTAAATTGTTGGTTTGTTGCAAAACAAAAAAAAAAAAAGGAAGAAAATGATGAAAGCTTTGCTGCGCATCAGGCTAATGTTGAGCAGCTGTGTGTTTATCATCAAGCCAGATGGACAAGAGGACGGCAGAGCCCATTAAGAAATCTTTACTGGCGCCCCACCCTCCCTCTAATGTGTCCGAAGGGTACCACTTTAGCCTGTGCGTGTGTCTGCAAGAGGGAATGAGACAGGAAGAGGGACAGAGAGTGGAAGAGTGTGCGTCGAAGCAATTTCTGAGCACAAGTGGGGATAATGTAGAGAAACATTTACAGAACGCCTGAATCATTCAGCAATCTTTGTTCTATCTTTGTGAATCTAACCTCAGACTCCTAATTAATCTGAGAAATTTAGAAACTGAAGCCAGACTTAAATAAGGAGGAGGGACGGTCCTATGATGCCTTGCAAAAGTATTTATGCCTCTTTAACAACTTTACATTTTTCATCTTATACTTGAGGCAGCACAGCGACGCAGTGGGTACCACTGCTGCCTTGCAGCAAGAAGGGTCTGGGTTTGATTCCTGACCCAGGGTCTCTCTGCGTGGAGTTTGCATGTTCTCCCTGAGCATGTTTGGGTTCTCTCTGGGTACTCCGGCTTCCTCCCACTGTCCAAAAACACTGTTAGGCTAATTGGTTAATTCTCTAAATCATCCTTAGGTGTGAGTGTGAATGGTTGTTTGTCTCTGTGATGGACTGTGATGGACTGGAGACCTGTCCAGGGTGGACCCGCCTCTTGCCCACTGACTGCTGGAGATAGGCACCCCTCGCCTAGCCTGGGTGCCATTCCAAACTTAGTCCCGCCCACAACGTTTGAGGTCGCGAAGTTCGGTCTGGCATTGCTTAACAGTAGCGCGAGTATGCCAGCACAATATCTGGTGGGCCAATCAAATTGTCAGGGCGGGCTTTATACGATGATGGACAGATGATCAACATTAACGTAATCAACCACGTCACCAAAGTTCGCGTGGGTGACAACAACAATGGCTGCCGCTGGAGAGCTGAGGTGTTTAGATTCTGCTATTAGGTCTGTTCTAGAAGATATCGACAGCAAATTAATTTTAAAAGAGGAACAGAGAAACGCGATCAAGGCTCATCTTCTTATTCTAGGCGTGCAACTGCACGCTTTGATTTTTGTTGACAACAACTATGCGTCGCTTAACATACGTCACGCACTCCGTTGCTCTTATTGGTTGTAGGTCTATCCAATTGAGTGCAGAGGCATTTTTTTTCCTGGTTCGTTCGAAACACGCCCCATAATCACAGCTCTATGGAGCAGCATCAGACTCATTCTGACTAGAATTGAGTAGGACTACGTCAGGCTACCCCTCGCCACTCCAGCAGGGATAAACGGAGCAAATCCATCTGGCGGAGTCAGGTTAATTGACTTCAACTTTGTCATGTTAAACACATTAGTATGATCTCAACAGGGGGTCCGTGACCCCTAGGGGTCCACAGAGTCCACTGCATGGGGTCACAAAGATTTTGGTCGATTAGACTTTCTTTTTATAATCCTCCCTGCAATTTATTCCACTAATTAAAATGTCTTTAAATCCACATTAACATGAATTCAACAGACTGTAGTAAACAGATAAATGGAGGCAGAAGATGTCTTTCAGTCATCAATGCTCACATTCAGTCCCCATGGCATAATGCTGCCACCACTGTGTTACACTGTGGATGTTATGTGTTCAGGGTGATGTGCAGTATCCTCACATGTAGCATTTTTTATGTCCTCCCTCTCCATGAGCTTTTTTTTCTAATTTTATTGCGTCCCTTACACAACTTCATGCAAACTGCAGACAAGAATTTCACCAGCTGATATTTCTTCTAAATAAATGCTCATACAAATCAAATACAGCTTTAGTTCATCTAAAAGGGTTGTGTTAAATTAATGTGGTTCCCTGGCAGACAAAAACTGTATGTCCAAAAAAAAAAAAAAAACCCAAAACATTAGCTTCTCAATGTAGAATCCCATTATGTGGTAAATCTTAAAAGCTATTCTACCCTCTTGTATTGGATGTTCTTTAGTGGAACCACTAATGGATGTGAGGACTGATTAGAAGAGTTGAATCATACAAAACATCTAAAAATGGAGATTCCCCTATTTTTACTTCTTATAGTTTTGATAAATACATAAGAATAAGTTTTTTTTTAAAAGCAATCAGGTTGCTTCATTGTTGGTAAAATAGCAATAAAGTTATTTGTTTCAAAAGTCAAAACTCTGGTTGATAAAATAAAATATTAAATTCAGTTTATTTCCATAGCACCAATTCACAACATGTCATCTCAAGGCACTTTACAGTTCAACAGATAATCCAGTCAGATGATCTGATGATTGATTCAAAGTTTTCTGTGTAACATCTAATATTTTCCACATATAACTTAACATGTAATCTAAACAATTCAATTGAAAAACAAATAGATTTGCCAGAAGTGAGGGAGAGATAACAAAAGAAATGGCTTCATAATTGTCCCCATCCTTATCCAAACACATTGTAAGACATTATGACCAGCAAATTTTCACTGAATCTATCTTTTCTTGCAAAAGCTCCCTTAATTCAATTCTATTCAGTTTATTTCTATAGCTCCAATTCACATCATGTCATCTCAGGTCACTTTCCAGTTCACCAGATCATCCAGTCAGATTGATTCAAAGTTTTCTAAGGAAAACCAGCTGATTGCATCGACTCATTGACTCTCATTGGAGGACATAAGGGGTCCCTATGTCCTCCAGCAGTCTAAGCCTATAGCAGCAGAACTATAGAGATAGCTCAGGATAACCTGAGCCACTCTAACTAGAAGCTTTATCAAAAAGGAAAGTTTTAAGCCTAGCCTTAAAAGTAGACAGGGTGTCTGCCTTATCCAAACACATTGTAAAAGACATTTTGACCTGTTAATATTTGCTGAATCTATCTTTTCTTGCTTAATTCAATTCTATTCAGTTTATTTCTATAGCTCCAATTCACATCATGTCATCTCAGGTCACTTTCCAGTTCACCAGATCATCCAGTCAGATTGATTCAAAGTTTTCTATCTAAGGAAAACCAGCTGATTGCATCGACTCATTGACTCTTCAGCAATCCCTCACACTAAGCATGCTTGTAGCGACAGTGGAGAGGAAAAACTCCCTTTGAACAGGAAGAAACCTCCAGCAGAACCAGGCTCAGTGTGAGCGGCCATCTGCTGAGGCCCACTGGGGTTCAAGGAGACAGAAGCAGACATAGAAAAAGAAGCATAGATACAAAAGGCAACTGTAAAAGGCGACCGCATTCAGGAAACACAGCCAGGCAGATGAGCTCCTTGGAAGAAAAACAGTCTCATAGAAATCAGTCTTTTTTTGTACATCGAATTTTAAACACTGAATTTTAATTTGGTAAAAATGTGCCTACAAAAAATTTTCCTGCAAATGTGTTGAACTTTTGGTGAACTCAAGCCAAAGCAATCTACACTTGATACAGTTGAGCAGCTTCTAGCCAATGAAATAAGCTAATTTGGTCTGAAAAATAAAAGTTTACGGTTGGCCGCTTCTTCCGGATCAAACCAAGAGCCTTGGCAGACGGGGGTGCCGTACTACTGTAGCTGTGATCAGCTCAGTTATTTCACCCAGTCCCATTAGATGGAAAACTCTAATGGCTGTCTATTAGTAGCTACCTGACGTTTTGGAATCATATTGATTTAACAAGAAAAACTCCTCATTCAGCCTCATTTAGTCGGGAGCAAAGCTATGTCCAATTGTTGTGTCACATGACCAAATGATCTCATTTCATTGGATAGAAGCTGCTCAACTGCATCTAGTGTAGATTGCTTTGGCAGGCACATTTTTTGGAACAGAATTTTTTGCAGGCACATTTTTACCAGATAAAAATTCAGTGTTTAAAATTTGGTTTACAAAAAAAAGGCTGACTCTAATGAGAATTTCTTCCATAGTCTCCGAGCCAGCTCCCATGTCAGAGGATGAAGAAACACATCCAGTTAGTCACAGTCAGAGAAACAGGACTACACTGGAAAACAGGCCAAGCTCCAACATCTAGAAACAAAGGTGTTGATGGCAGCAGCACAGCTGATATTTCTCTCCAGGATGGAGTCACAGCCAAACAGGAACAGACCAGATGAAGCTACTATGAAGTTAAAGGAAAAGTCCGCAAGGAATAAAAGTATGTATACGTTTGCGGTGATTTAATGAATTTAGTGTTAATAAGTAAAAACATAAAAACAATAATTTTCGTCGCTGAGTCTGGGAGCGGGCATCTTTGCCCAAATATAGTAGCCCCTCCCTCCTGCCATCTTCCAGCAGTGACGTCACGGTGCGGTAAGCCTAGCGGGTAAAAGTGAAAATAAACAGTTATTCCACCTTTCTGATTCCTGATCCTCCACGGACGGGTTGGTCGTTGGATCGCCAACTTGAAGAGGGAGGATTTGCCATCGAACTTCTGGCCAGAGAAAAAACCCGTAATATGTAGCCAACATTTGGAAGAAGAATGTTTTCAAGATGACTTGGATAATAGCGCGTTGTGACAAACACCAGATACAGCACTGGGACTTGATCAACAGCCGATACCGCACCGTGACGTCACTAACCAGTAGGTGGCAGTAGTGTTCTTTAGCAAACATGGATGCCTCCAGTAAAGCACATTCACATGAAAATTACTCTGAATTAAAAACACTGATCATTTATTGAACAGGATGGAATCATTTCAGATTTAAAGAACTTTCAGAAGCTTGAATTCTGAATATGAGCGACTTTTCCTTTAAATATAAATTACCGCATGTTGTCCGAAGACAGTGTCTAACTTCACTTGCGCCTCTTCTCCTGTTAATACGGTAAAGCCCTGGGGAGCGTCCGGCTCCAGGCTGCACGTGATCCAAATGAGCCAATGAGCTGTCAGTCTGGGTTGCTGCTGCTGCTACTTTTAGACACAGCAGGCAAACCTGTGGCAAGCCGGGCGATGGGAAAGAAGGAGAAGACCATGAGAAAAAGAGAGCAGAGAAAGTGTGGACTGCTGGAAGAACTGCGGTGAACTGGTGAAAGAAAAGTGAAATGGCGTGCTCAAAGATGACCCTGCACATTTAGAGGATGTTTGGCTCAACCTGCTGCTGTGAAGCAGGATTCTCCACCATGAACAGAATCAACAATAAATCTGGATCCAGGCTCAAAATGAGCTCCTTGATATGTGCTTGAGAATGGCTTAGTCTCCGGTTAAACCCAGGTTTAAAGCCTTGCAGGGCAGCCTAAAGCCCACTGCCAACATTAAGACAGAAAAAAGAAAGAAAATAACAAACGCTCAGTTCAGGGGTTTGAGAAAATATGGGAATTGTCTATAGACAAACTGAACGATTGTTGTTCTCTACTAAAAACACTTTTTACACACAATTTTCTTCATATTTAAAAATTCAATGTAAAACATGGATAGATTAACACCTCATTTTATTTCAGTGTTAAATTCTGTTTAAAGTAACAGATTATAGTTAAAAATATCTCGGGACCTTTACAGGTTGATGGTTTTCTTTATTCGGACCCTGCTGGTTTTTAATTTTTACCCCTGATCTATAGTGATGCAGACTAACTCAGACTTCTTAAAAACACAGCCTTAAGGTTTGTTCTAATGTACTTTGGCTGTAAGTTTATAGTCTGAACACCATGTGGGCAGGTTGCGTGGTGTGAGAGGCTCTCTGCTCTATGATTGGCCAATCAGCAGACACGCTGCCTATCCGTCAGGCCCTACAGTCTCGTGGTTAACCAATAGGAGGGGAGGCCCCACCTTTTGGCCAATACTAACCAATCAGGTTTGAATGTAGAGGAGGGGCTTGAAGCCTCCTGTTACCAATCGGAGCGCAGGGCGATGAGTTGTCAGAGGTTCCCCTGTTAGCCCAGCTGGGACAGAGCAGAAGTTTAAATCAGACACCTGGAGCTGCTGGTCTGAGCTGGAGCCATGAGTCCGCTGGTATATTTAGGAGCTCTGCTGCTTTTCTTCCTGCTGTGGATCAGGGTCAAAGGTCTGGATTACGTCATCGTTCACCAGCGCTGGATATTCGTCTGTTTGTTCCTGCTGCCGCTCTCTGTTGTCTTTGATGTTTATTATTATGTGAGAGCGTGGCTCATTTTTAAGATGTGCTCAGCACCCAAACTGCACGACCAGCGCGTGCGGGACATCCAGCGACAGGTGAGTGTGACGTCAACGTCTGCTCACAGCATAGGTGTGAGCGCTGTAGTAATCAGGGGCGGATTTAGGAAATGTGGGGCCCTAGGCAAAGACAGGCAGGGGCCCCTCTGAATGGAGAAGACATAAAACAGCCCCATTCTACAGATAGAGAAATGTTTATAGAATAGACATCCATTATCTGTTCTAGGTTGTGTCCCTCTCTTCTTGTCCCTTTTCTTCTTGTTTTCCTCTCTATGTTTTGTACTCAGCTGACTTTTCATGCTGTCTCTAAAGGAATGAAAGATTTTTTCCAAGCACTAAGCTCACTTAGCTGATTGCTCCTTCCTGTGTTTCCAAAAAGGCCAAAGTAAATAACCCAGTCCTTCTTTTCACTGTAGACAAGCCATGATCTGCTTATCTGTTCTCCATTTTTCATTTGGATGAAATAATAGCTGCATGAATCATGATTATCATTTTATAATTTAAACATCTATATTAAACACACACACACAATGCATAATAATGCTGAAGAAATGTTTTCTGTGCACCCAGGTACGAGAGTGGAGGAAGGATGGCGGTGGGACGTACATGTGCACAGGTCGACCCGGCTGGCTCACGGTGTCCCTCAGAGTTGGAAAATACAAGAAAACCCACAAAAACATTATGATCAATATGATGGACATACTGGAGGTGGACACAGAGAGGCAGGTAGGAGAGGCAGGAGACATGGCTGCTTGGTTTCTCTGCTTGCCTGAACTATTTCTCTGTCCATTTACTCTGCAGGCCTCTCTATAAATGATGTAGTACTCATTAAAGCAGTTAAAGCTATAGTGAAAGATTATTTAAGGTTATTTTTCTGGGTGGATCATCAAAATAAGTGGTCCTTCCAATTGTCAATCATTCTGGTGACATGTTTAGGGCTGCAACTAACGATGATTTTAAAAATCGATGAATCAGCCGATTATTTTTTCGATTAATCGATGAATCGGACAAAAAGTATTTTTTTATATTAACCTCTTTATTCCAAAATAAACATTTTAGGCAGAACAAACAAGCACACAAGTACAGGTTGCTCATTAACTGTCCTGGTGCAATATGAAAAATAAATGTTTGTGTTAAAACTACGCAAACTTACATGAGAAATGTAGCTGTACATCCACAAAATATAGGCTACTTTGTTTCATAAAGCGCAAAATAAGACATTTTTGTTTTTAAAAGCCCCTAAGGGGTTCAAACAATAGGCCCCCCCATTTCAACAAATGAGGTTTTTTAGACTAGAAGAGTTCTGCCTTTTAAGACAGGAAAGTATAGCAGTTAAAGTTGCTACTTGAGAAAATACTGAACCATAGAGATAAAAATAGCCCTGTGATTCAAATTATAAATTGTATTTGGAATAAAAATGAGAGAACTAGGGGTGCTAAAAAACACATCCTCCAAAGACAGATATTTACATGGGAATGTGGCAGATAATTAATTGACATATTACTGATCTTGCTGGATTTTATTCTGCTTTACTTCCATAAATTGCAGGATCTTCTTTACTTTATCTTTGCCAGAAGATTTAAACTTTAAAAGCCTTGCCCTCATAATTAGCAAGTTAATTTATTTATAAAGAAAATATAAACGCTGCTTAAGCTAATTCAAATGAAATTAAAAGTAAAATAAGTAGCCAACCTTATCAATGTCTGTAACCTACTAACACGGTAAGGAAAGCATCAGATGAGCTACCTGAGAAACTAACGTTACGTTTCCCCACTTTAAAACCAAACAAACATGGCCGCTCATCCTGCTGATCAGCTCTCTTCACGCCATCGAGGCTCCAACGTGTTTCCTTTTCAGGTGCTGCATCATAACAGTGGTGCTTCCACGCCATGTTCATTTGTTTTTACAAAAGTTGCATGTTACAAGTTTTTTCGCTTTACAAAGCGCAGGCTATTTTAATTATTGTGATCAATTTGGGCCGTCAATCCCGGCGCATGCACGCTTCATTTGCACACTGTCTGCTGAAACATCCTGCGGCTCTGACTGCAGCTGAGAGGGACTCCTGCTGGAGCGGGGTTGGGATGGGGGAGGCGCCCCATGGCAATGACGACGGCGGCGGATGACGCATTAATCGCGCGACACAACTAATGGATGATGAAATTCATTGCCAACGCTTTTAAAAGTCGATTTTTATCGATTTTATCGATTCGTTGTTGCAGCCCTGGACATGTTTACGTAAAGCCAGGCATAAACTGTATGATTTTTTCCCTTTTTGGGCCGAATCTACAGTCGTGCAAGAATTTTTCGATGGGGCCGACTTTCAGCCTGATGGTGCGGGGTGTAGTGAACAGGGGATAAGGAAGGGTGATCAGCCTCTAACGACCACCTCCATCAGGAATTGTAAGGTCGGAGAAAATCAAACCTGTTAGAAATTCAGTCGGCCGTCATAAGGCAGTCGTGGGTAAATCGCTCAGTGGGCAAACAAGGATTCTTCTTCTTCTTCCTCACAGAGGAAAACCCAGAAGCCTGGCGGTAGTAGTAGCCATGTTAGCTCAGCCATGTCTTTGTCCAAATACATCGTCTCCTTTTCTTTTTAGGGCTTTCAGCACCAAATTGCCCAAATATCCAAGGCAGCGCGTTTCACTCTAGTGAGCCTCATGTTCCTCTTCTACTGGTTTGGCTTCCAGATAGACGAGTCCGAGTAGCGCCATCTCACTGCGGAGCAAAGTCCCACCTGGTTTTTAGACGTACAGTGAGCAGGTAGATTGCATCAGAGCGTCGGGTCGCACAGCGTGAGAACAAACATCGTGAGCTGAGAACTTCTAAACCCTGTGGTTTGGTCGTACAGTGTGAGCTGTGGCTGCGTGCAACATTTGAAATATCGAACAGTGTATGTCCGACTACAGGTCCTCCTACGCGCTCGTCCCCATTTTCACTTACCGGCGGTCGCACAATCCTAAACCGGCCCCTAAACACTAGCGGAGGAGAAAATGGGCTCGTGCACGCTCTCGCACGGGATTAATAGGCGTTCCCTCTGGGGAGTGGATACAGGGTTTTCCATGTGTTTTTTTTTTTTTTAAGTGGAGTCTTTTCAAAAACTTGCAAAAATCCTCCACTATACCTTTAATTATAACTAACTAGAACTGTGAGCCTTTCTTAAGATCTTATGATTCTAGATCTTTATTGATCAAAATATCACCTGTGTGTGAGATTAAAATCAGATTCAAAATAAAAAGTCGTACTTTATTAATTTTTTTTGCATATTAAATCTGGCTTCTTATTCACCTATTGGAGTATTGGATTCTTCTGAGAGTGAAATTGATTTTCTTTGGTTTTAGGTACAATTTTAAAGCCAACATGCTTTTTTTCTTGGGTTGACTGACAGAATTTGCACCAAGCGTTGTTCAGCTCTGAGGAACAGAACTTTCTGTTTTTTTCCTGAACATTATAATGGCTGGATATTCACATATTTTATGCTCATTTTTTAACAGATGTCTGGATCTTTAACCTGGGGATGAGCCAGATTTGCAGGGGAAATAATTCCTCTTCCTTATATCTTGATTTCTGTGAAAGTTCCTGTTTATGTGACCCAAATAAGTGGTGTGTTTGAGGTGTTGCCTTAAATTACGCCCACAGATGTGCCTCCGGTTTACTCAGATGCTCTGAATTAAACAGTTAGAAGCTTAGAAAGCTTTTTTTTGTAAAGTAAAGCTTTCTCTCTCCTGTTCTTTTCCTGAGGAGAGATCACTCTGGACAACAAATTCTTTAACCCATTTAGGCCGGGAAAGCATTATACCGCATTTCTACCATTCAAGCCGGGGGTGCTGTTGCGTCATTCTACCATTGACGCCGGGAGAGCATATAAGTCAAGCAAGAAGAAAGAAGTTTTTTTCAAGCAAACATGGAGGAGTTTGACAGAGAAGAGTTGTCGGAAGGCAGTGATTTTGAGGAGTGTGTCGGCTTTGATGACGGTATAGATGAAATGATGACTTTGAACGCGCTGAACCAATCGAACTACCACCGCAATGCACGGAGTGTTTTCAACCGCACACCTGGAGTGAAAGTTGATTTGCCTGCAGACGCCACACCGCTGCAGGCATTTGAGCATATTTTTAATGAAGAACTTTGGATGCATCTAGTTACCGAGACGAATAGGTACAGTGACCAAACAAACCAAACTCCAACAAGAGCAAAGATGGCAAAGTGGTCACCCGTGACTGTGACGGAGATGAAGACATTTATTGGGCTGTGTATGTAAACCTCTCTTCAGGACGCAGTTCCCCCAAAATATGTCCCGGGACAGATTTGTGGCCATCTGGAGGTAGGTTGTATGCAATTTATAACACAGACATATGCATTATTATGCATAATAATACTGTTAATAAGTAATCATCAGATAGTTATTTATGTAATGTTTGTTCTTTATTTTGAAAACGTTTTATATTGCGCATTCTCAATGAAGACATGATCACATATGGAAAAAATAAAAGGTTGAATTTTTTTTTGATTACTGCTTTTCACATTTTTTTTTTGGAAGAATTTCAAAGATAAAATATATTTTGAGTTCTATCTGCTACAGAAGCTGAGATATCAATAATTAAGGCGTTGACACAGTTGCTGAATTTACAGAAAAACTTCAGGTTTTAGGGGTATTTTTTAAAATCGGCCATAGGTTTTTAAGGTGTTTTTTCCAGGCGTTTTAGGCCTAAATGGGTTAAATAACACTTCATAATGTATATGTATTAAATAACCAGGAGACATGATGAGTAGAGTTACAGAAGGCGGCGCTTACCAACCGGGTTCACATCACGTGAAGACTTTATTAATCTCCTGGGATTATTCCTTCAGGGAAATTCTGGTTCCAGTAGCTTATATAGAGAATAAAGAGTTAAAGCAAGATGCCATTAAAGATAAAAAGTACAGAAAAGCGTAAAGAAAAAAGTTGTAATGTCCTGGAATATGTTTCCCTTATATACAAAAATATCTGCACAGTAAAGAGCTGAGGTAAGACTACACAGTATTGTAAGTGAACACGAATCACAATTAGATAAGCATTTTATACACCACCAGTCTGCCACATTATTACATCATGCATGTTTATAAATGAGTAGACATCCATGGCTCCTACCTTATCAAAATATTACACTATTTTTAGCTGAAGGACTCCGCTCTCATTCCATTCCCAAATCTTTACCACGGACAGAATGAAGATGACTTTAAATTCTGACAGAGGAACTTTACTAATTAGATAAACTACTGAGGAAAACATGAGTTACACGCAACAGGCTGGTATTATTAGGGTTTAAAGTAATAATCAATGGATCATTATTTATAGTTAAAACTAATATGTTTGCAGTGATTTAATGAATTTAGGGTTAATCGATAAAAAAATATAATGATTTTCGTTGCGATCACCGAGTCTGGGAGCGGCCATTTTTGCCCAAATATAGTAGCCCCTCCCTCCTGCCATCTTCCAGCAGTGACGTCACGGTGCGGTAAGCCTAGCGCCATTCTCCCCGCTTTCCAAGCTAAATCAATGGGAACTACTAGACACATCTGCAATCAACAACAATTATTGACGATTTCCAGAGGACTTCACCATTGAAATTCACCAGAGCTATAGTGAAACTGACAATGCCCACGTGCATGGCAGCTGGATGCTGGAATACATCGGGTAAAAGTGGAAAAAAAGTGTTATTCCACCTTTCTGATTCCTGATCCTCCACGGACGGGTTGGTCGTTGGATCGTCAACTTGAAGAGGGAGGGTTTGCCATCGAACTTCTGGCCAGAGAAAAAACCCGTAATATGTAGCCAACATTTGGAAGAAGAATGTTTTCATGATGACTTGGATAATAGCGCGTTGTGACAAACACCAGATACAGCACTGGGACTTGATCAACAGCCAATACCGCACCGTGACAATGTCACTAACCAGTAGGTGGCAGTAGTGTTCTTTGACAAACATGGATGCCTCCAGTAAAGCACATTCACATGAAAATTACTCTGAATTAAACTGAAATCTCGAATACAATGTTTATCGTAGCTAACAATAAAGAGATTAAATGAATGAATACATAGATAGAGGAACTTTCCTGATTAGATAAACTACAGTGGGAAACATTAGTTCTGACACCAAACAGGCAGGTATTATTAGGGTTTAAAAGACTCACACATCATTAATAAAAATAATAATCCTAACAATAGTGATAAAAGTAATTAAATAAAAAAATATTCCTAAACAGTGAAAGTTTAGTTTGAGTTAACATCAAACAATCGGGGACAAAAACATGTATCTCTATTAATTAAATATCTGTTTTCCATAGGAACCAAAAGCCATCTAACCTGACTCCGCCAGATGGATTTGCTCTGCATATCCATCTGGAAACCTTCCGTTGAAGTAATTTTGGGAAGGGGCGAAAATACTTGTTAGCTGATTGTCCTATGTTGGTGATAGACGGGCCAAATAAACCAATCAGATCAACGAAGCATATGACGTACTAACAGCCAGGCTACTCTTGCCAAAACCAGTCGGGAGAAGAGCAAAAACATCTTTTCCTCTGAGAAAAGCCTCCAGAGCAGTGTTTTGCTCTTCTTTCAGTGAAGAAATACTCTGTAATTTCGATAAAACACGCTAACGCTAGTTTCATCGGCTGAAGCCGCCATGTTCTTTAGACTGAACTGTCGCGCTTCTCGTTGCGTCACACCTCAACCCGCCTCAAAGCCAACGCTGATTGGACGTTCGTTTGGTGAACGGCTCCAAATTTTCTTTAACGGAGAGTCTCCAGACTGATCTGCGAGTGAAACCTTGAAAGCTCGCGAGATCAGGATGGCCTCACGAGGCTAGAAGCCATCCATCTATTATATTTAGTGTTGCCATTTTTGGCCCCACACTGGAAAAACGATCTAGAAATAAGTAAAAATTTCTCAAATTATGTATTATTTACCCTTTTTTTGAGTAGGTAAATAAGATGATTTGCCAATGGAATGAGTAGTTTTACTCTTAAAATAAGATATTTAGATCAAATGCACTTCAAATAAGACAATGCAATTGCATTTTCTTATTTTAAATGTAAATTGTCTTGTTCCATTGGTAAAATGTCTCTTTTACCTTCTCAATTCAAGAAAAAATGCACTTATTTTAAGAAAAAATGACTAATCTAGGTTTTGATTTTTTCAGTGCAATACCTGGCTGTGCAGTATCGGCCCATACCGATACCATCTGTTAGAAATTGATGTGTGTATCTATGAAGAACTGCAAACTACTGGATGTAAAATAATCACCATCATGGCTTCATGTCAAGCTGCTGCCTTCCTTTATGAAGCAGGAAAAAGACTAAAACAAAGTGAATCCAGTAGAACTTTTTATTTCCTACCTGGAATAGGTGACAATAGTTGAAGAAACTTTTGGCTCTCTAAATGGTATCGGTGCCCTATTGGTTGGTACTCGCCGATACCGATACCTCCATTTTAGTGCTGGATCGGGGCCCCACCCCATACTGGTATCAGTGCAACACTATTTGTTTTAGAATGAATCCAGTCCCTGTCAAAATTAGTTTTGGTTGGATGCTATTTGACATAATAATAAAGTCATTATGTATTTTTTTAAGCCATCAACATTTATATTTTTGCAAAGCAATAAGATAAGAAATCAATGTTGTTGTTTTTTCTTATGATTCCGGTGTTTGTTCATGTTCTAGGTGGTGAGAGTGGAGCCACTGGCAAACATGGGTCAAGTGACGGCTCTCCTTAACTCCATCGGCTGGACGCTGCCGGTGCTGCCCGAGCTGGATGACCTCACCGTGGGTATGTTGGACACGCTTTGGGGTATTTTTAGGGTCGTCGCCATGGTTGCTGTTTCTTTTCTATCTCTTGTTTTTCTAAAAATAGAAGCTCCATCTGATTTACAGCCCGCTGAGAGACGGAGATCTGCATGTTCTCCGTCAATCAGCGCATCCTGTTTAGAGCCACGGCAGCTTCTCTAATTGTGTTAGCGGGCTGGTGCTGCAGCTCAGAAGATGAAACCGGGAGGAAATGGCCGCAGCAGTGGAAGCACCCCTGGATGGAGTTTCATAATGGATTTCCTGATGCCATAATCTACGCATCAGCGATCTAATGTTTTCCCATCAGGCTGTGATAAATTAATTTATCCATCTGTCCACAGAGCATCGCGCTCACAGCAGGCGAACGCTGTTATCGGCTCATGTGTTTGCCCCCCTGTTGCTCTCAGCCGGGCAAAAATTCAATTACTGTAAAGGAGCATTGAGAAATGTTTTTATTCCTTTTTCAGGTGGGCTGGTGATGGGCACAGGCATCGAGTCCTCCTCCCATATCTACGGGCTTTTTCAGCACATATGTGTGGCATATGAACTGGTCCTTGCAGATGGCAGCTTAGTGCGCTGCACAGAGGTAGGTAGTGTGTGAGTGCAGGGTTCGAATCCTGCATCGTAAATCAGACATTTAGAAGGAAAGCAATGAAGCTTTTTGTGTTTTTCATAGGAAATCTGTGCATTATGGTGACAAAAACCATATCTGAGCTTCAAAGAATTTTCTATTATAACTGTTTGTCCATTAAATGACAGATCATTCCATGCCAGTTTGCTAAATTAACCCCAGCACTGCAAAAATGACCTAGAAAAAGGTATTAATTTCTTAAATAAAGTGTATTTACCCTTAATTCGAGCAGGAAAATTAGATGTTCTGCCAACGGAATGAGGATTTTTACTCTTAAAAGAAAATATGTAAATAATAACACTTTAAAATGACAATGCTGTTGATTTTTCTTTTAAATGTAAATTGTCTTATTCCATTGGCAAAGTGTTTCACTCACCTCCTTAATTCAAGAAAAAAAATGCACGTATTTAAAGAAAAAAGGACTTTAGATTAACTTTTTTGCATTGAATGTGTTCTATCATTAGAAATTCAGACAAATGAAATGAAAAGAATAGCAGATCTAAACATACAGCCCAGTGTCAGTGTCTCGTACTTGGATCAGGGCCGGTGTTCTGTCAGAACATCATAGGCTGTCAGATCGGCATACATTGTTCTAATAGGCATGCATGCACATGCGCAACACAGAATTATTCCCACATTGAATTTTAGCTGCTGTGCACCGACCAGCAAAAACACTTTTATTTTAACTTTTGAAATAGAAAATCGGCTTTGATTATGCTGGTATTTCTTGGATGTTGAAACGGCCAGACATGATGAGAGAAGAAGCCTCTATAGCTAAAACCATATTAGTCAATATGAACCTAAATAATATACTTTAGTTGTAAAAAAAAAAAAAAAAACTTGTGTGCGGAAATTAAAATTTGGTTAGATTTAATTTTCATGTTTAAATTCATAGAAAAGATTGGCTGTGGTGTAAATGGTGACTCGGAATTAATTTAGGTTAGATAAAAACTAATGGTATCCTGATCAGTGTATGTTGTTCTGACAGGACACCGGGACTTTAACTCGTTGATTTTTATCAATAAAAACATTTTAACATGGGAAAAATTTACGCAATTAATTGCATTTTCTGATATATATATATACTTAAGTCCCAAGCAGGAACCATGTAAATCTGAGTAGTGGACAGTTAGGGCCTTGAACATGGATCATTTAGTAATTTGCCTCTTTAGATACAATTCTATTCAGTTTATTTCTATAGCTCCAATTCACATCATGTCATCTCAGGTCACTTTCCAGTTCACCAGATCATCCAGTCAGATTGACTCAAAGTTTTCTATCTAAGGAAAACCAGCTGATTGCATCGACTCATTGACTCTTCAGCAATCCCTCACACTAAGCATGCTTGTAGCGACAGTGGAGAGGAAAAACTCCCTTTGAACAGGAAGAAACCTCCAGCAGAACCAGGCTCAGTGTGAGCGGCCATCTGCTGAGGCCCACTGGGGTTCAAGGAGACAGAAGCAGACATAGAAAAAGAAGCATAGATACAAAAGGCAACTGTTAACCAGCTCCACAGGCGGCCCCGTCCAGGAAACACACAGCCAGGCAGACGAGCTCCGAGCCAGCTCCCATGTCAGAGGATGAAGAGAGCACATCCAGTTAGTCACAGTCAGAGAAACAGGACTACACTGGAAAACAGGCCAAGCTCCAACATCTAGAAACAAAGGTGTTGATGGCAGCAGCACAGCTGATATTTCTCTCCAGGATGGAGTCACAGCCAAACAGGAACAGACCAGATGAAGCTACTATGAGAAAAAGCAGAGAGAGCAGAACGTTAGAGATTGAACTAACAGATTCTGCATAGTGGGAGAATAGAGATAGAATGAAGCAGAATGATGAAAAAGGGGTCCCTATGTCCTCCAGCAGTCTAAGCCTATAGCAGCATAACTATAGAGATGGCTCAGGATAACCTGAGCCACTCTAACTAGAAGCTTTATCAAAAAGGAAAGTTTTAAGCCTAGCCTTAAAAGTAGACAGGGTGTCTGCCTCACGGACTAAAACTGGTAGTTGGTTCCACAGGAGAGGAGCCTGAGAACTAAAAGATCTGCCTCCCATTCTACTGTTAGAAATTCTAGGAACCACTAGTAAACCTGCAGATTGAGAGCGAAGTGCTCTGTTAGGAACATAAGGAACAATCAGATCTCTGATATCAGATGGAGCTTGGCCATTTAAGGCTTTATATGTGAGAAGGAGGATTTTAAATTCTATTCTGGATTCAATAGCCTCAATGGAGATGGTTGTAATAACCCTAAATGCTCCATATCGAATAACAATTTTTAGGCTCCTAAAGGCAATGCTTTATGCAAAGATATATTTACTGGAAATAATTGCACTATAATTAATATTCATGCACTTTTCACACTTCTATAGAAGTAGTTTTTTAAGAAACTGCATATGGGGTTTCTTAAAAAAAACAATCCAATGGTTGGACAATCTAAATAGCTGGATTAAAAACAATACATGTATTTTTGTTGTTGTGCTCCTATAATTTTTTTTTAAATAAGGAGAAAAGTTTCTTCTGAATTAAAGAGGTGGTTTATTTTGTTGACGGTTTTCGCTTAAAATTGGATTAATTGTGATTAATTGATTACAGACTCTTTAATGACCTTGATTAAAATGCTGAACTGCGTCCCACCAAACACAAAGTAAAACATAACGGTTAAAGGGAAGAAGATGAGATGCATCTTACTTCTATTTCCTACTAAGAATCAGGAAAGTGCTGATTTAGAAAAGCCCTTTTTCTTTGCTGCATGTATGAAGCACACTGAGAGTGTCTGTAAGCAGGAGGATCCAGTATAGCTACCACCACCGTGTTTCATCATGGGGAATGTAGGCTGTCAGTTCTGAATGTGAATATATTTGTGGGACAATGCAGTTTGATTTTTGCCCAAACAGGAGGAGAACTCTGATCTGTTCCATGCCGTCCCCTGGTCCTGTGGCACGCTGGGGTTTCTGGTCGCAGCAGAGATTAAAATAGTCCCAGCTAAAGCTTGGGTGAAGCTGCGCTATGAGCCCGTCAGAGGCCTGGAGAACATCTGCAAACGTTTCGCCGAGGCATCACAGAACAAGCAAAACACGTTCGTGGAGGGGATCCAGTATAGCCTGGACTCAGCCGTCATCATGACAGGAACCATGACTGACCATGCAGAGCCAGATAAGGTGAGGTGTCGGCGAGCTCCCCAGTATATCGGCTGTATGGACTTTGACTAGATCTGACGTCCTCCTTTTCCTCCTGGACACCAGATTAACAGAATCGGCCTGCACTTCAAACCCTGGTTCTTCAAACATGTAGAGAGCTACCTGAAAGGAGAGCGCAGTGGAGTGGAGTTCATCCCTCTGAGGCATTACTACCACCGACACACACGGAGTATCTTCTGGGAGATCCAGGTATGCACACACACACATCACTGTTGCATTTTACACCGTGTTTAAATATGTAGTGTCAAAAGTAAATTAACTCTTTTAGAGTTATTACTACAACTGGAGTAAGATATACACTATGTAGAGAGTAAATTAATAATTTAGAGTGAGATCAAATGCACTCGATTAGTGTTAAATTCAACTCATAAAGTGTTACTTCAACACTACAAAATTTTAGGTCCATCTTAGGCTCCTGTCACACCTTTCTGGTTTATCCAGCGTCTGCCTGACATCCCAGAATCTCCTGAAACGCTGGAATTCACTGAACTTTCAATTTTAGGCCTATACAAAGATTCAGAACTTCTGTCCGACAGCCTAACTTCTGCATAACGCACGGCATCAGTTAAAGCTGGTGGGCAGGCAGTGTCATCGCTGCTCCCACCCAAAAAAAATAAAAGAAAAAAGAACAATAAAGAAAGCAGGTTTTTGGTGTCAGCAGATTGAGCATCATGTCTGCTAGGAAGTGTGATGGTGGTGGGCGTGAACGCAGGGAGGATCCATCACTCTCACCTTCTGGCTAACCCTATGATGGGGATGAAGTCTGGAGGAGAACTGACGGTTTCCTCCTGTGAACCCCCTTTATACCAAAACGCTGCCAATACGCCATTATACAGTAGCTGGAAGTTAGAAACACGTTCAGCGCTCGTCTGGAACACGTCAGATACCTTGATATGCGTTGGTCTGGAGGAGAAGTTACTCGGAAGTTTAGGATAAGCTAGACGCCACGACTTATGAGTCATTTACACAAATGTCAACCATCAGATAACTGACCTGGAACTTATGGCCCATGCATAGCATACGCTGGCATATGCTGGCATACGCTGGCATACGCTGGCATACGCTGGCAGACCCTGGCAAACCCTGGCATACGCTGGCAGACCCTGGCAGACCCTGGCAGACCCTGGCATACGCTGGCAGACCCTGGCAGACCCTGGCATATGCTAGCAGGCGCTGGCATACGCTGGCAGATGCTAGCAGACGCTGGCATACCCTGGCAGATGCTAGCAGACGCTGGCATATGCTAGCAGGCGCTGGAATACGCTGGCAGACCCTGGCATACGCTGGCATATACTGGCAGACCCTGGCATACGCTGGCATATACTGGCAGACCCTGGCATACGCTGGCAGACCCTAGCATACGCTGGCAGACCCTGGCACACGCTGGCAGACCCTGGCACACGCTGGCATACGCTGGCATATGCTGGCATACGCTGGCAGACCCTGGCATACGCTGGCAGATGCTGGCATACGCTGGCAGATGGTGGCATACGCTGGCAGACCCTGGCATACCGTGGCATACCCTGGCATATGCTGGCATATTCTGGCAGACCCTGGCATACGCTGGCATATGCTGGCATATTCTGGCAGACCCTGGCATACGCTGGCATATGCTAGCAGGCGCTGGCATACGCTGGCAGATGCTGGCATACGCTGGCATATGCTGGAAGACGCTGGCATACGCTGGCATACGCTGGCATACGCTGGCAGACCCTGGCAGACGCTGGCATATGCTGGCAGATGCTGGCAGATGCTGGCAGATGCTTGCAGACGCTGGCATACGCTGGCAGATGCTGGCAGACGCTGGCAGACGCTGGCAGACACTGGCAAATGCTGGCAAATGCTGGCAGACGCTGGCAGATGCTGGCATACGCTGGCTGACGCTGGCATACCGTGGCATACCCTGGCATATGCTGGCATATTCTGGCAGACCCTGGCATATGCTGGCATATTCTGGCAGACCCTGGCATACGCTGGCATATGCTAGCAGGCGCTGGCATACGCTGGCAGATGCTGGCATATGCTGGAAGACGCTGGCATACGCTGGCATATGCTGGCATACGCTGGCAAACCCTGGCATACGCTGGCATACGCTGGCAGACGCTGGCATATGCTGGCAGACCCTGGCAGATGCTGGCAGATGCTGGCAGATGCTGGCATACGCTGGCAGATGCTGGCATACGCTGGCAGATGCTGGCATACGCTGGCATACGCTGGCAGACGCTGGCATATGCTGGCAGACGCTGGCAGATGCTGGCAGACACTGGCAAATGCTGGCAAATGCTGGCAGACGCTGGCAGATGCTGGCATACGCTGGCAGACGCTGGCAGACGCTGGCAGATGCTGGCAGACGCTGGCAGACGCTGGCAGACGCTGGCAGACGCTGGCATATGCTGGCATACGCTGGCAGACGCTGGCAGATGCTGGCATACGCTGGCATACGCTGGCAGATGCAAGCATACGCTGGCATACGCTGGCATATGCTGGCATACGCTGGCAGATGCTGGCATATGCTGGCAGACGCTGGCAGATGCTGGCATACGCTGGTAGACCCTGGCATACGCTGGCATATGCTGGCAGACGCTGGCAGATGCTGGCATACGCTGGTAGACCCTGGCATACGTTCGAAGACGTTGGCATATGCTGGCATACGCTGGCAGATGCTGGCATACGCTGGTAGACCCTGGCATACGCTGGAAGACGCTTGCATATGCTGGCAGACGCTGGCAGATGCTGGCAGACGCTGGCAGATGCTGGCAGACGCTGGCAGATGCTGGCAGACGCTGGCAGATGCTGGCATACGCTGGCATACGCTGGCAGATGCAAGCATACGCTGGCAGATGCTGGCATACGCTGGCAGATGCTGGCATATGCTGGCAGACAATGGCAGATGCTGGCATACGCTGGTAGACCCTGGCATATGCTGGCATATGCTGGCAGATGCTGGCAGATGCTGGCATACGCTGGTAGACCCTGGCATACGTTCGAAGACGCTGGCGTATGCTGGCATACGCTGGCAGATGCTGGCATACGCTGGTAGACCCTGGCATACGCTGGCATATGCTGGCAGATGCTGGCAGATGCTGGCAGACGCTGGCAGATGCTGGCATACGCTGGTAGACCCTGGCATACGCTGGAAGACGCTGGCATATGCTGGCAGACGCTGGCAGATGCTGGCAGACGCTGGCAGATGCTGGCATACGCTGGTAGACCCTGGCATACGTTCGAAGATGCTGGCATATTCTGGCAGACGCTGGCAGATGCTGGCATACGCTGGTAGACCCTGGCATACGTTCGAAGACGCTGGCATATTCTGGCAGATGCTGGCAGACGCTGGCATACGTCGGGATATTTTGAGCATGCTCAAAATTTCAGGACGTACTCGCCATATGTTGATGTGTGCCAGTGTACATCAGCGTGCTCATAACTTATCCAGTGTTTTTGCAAGATGTCAGTCATACGCTGGTCTAAATCATCAAGGTGTGACAGGGGTTTTACTTTTATTTAAGAGAAAAATTATGTTCCAATAGGAATTGCTCTCATGTTTCTCATAAGAACCCTGATATTTGGCACACTGCCTCCTGCCTACTTTTCCCTTGTAAATAATTAGCTTTGGTTTAGATAACCAATGCAAACATGAGGAGAATTTATAGCAGGGCTCGATGTTAACCATCGCCTGATCGCCCGGGGCAAGTAGTTTTTATTGTCAGGAGAGAACAAATTTCATTGCATTTGCCTGCCAGGCAATGATCGCAAAAATAAAAAAATTATCACTCAGAAACACTTTAAAATCACCGACATTCGCTGAAAACGACCCAGAAGTGTTGCCGACGCCATTTTTGTTGTTTTGTACACATTCTCGCGTGATTTGAGAAAGCTGCGTGATTTTCCGCGAGATGCCGTGATTTCTGTCGGGGAATTGGCGTCACAGAAGCGGTGGAGAACTGGTGGAAAGATGGTGATAGAGCCAAACGACCAGGATTCAGCTCTTGGGGAGAGAATACTGCAGAGCAGCAGCTGGATGATGAATTTAATCTATACTATAATACATGCTAGATTAAAAATGATCAGTCAGGCATTAGGAAAATAATAATAATAATTGTATGCGCACAGTGTAAATATTCATCATATGGCAGTCTTCTGTACAGTGATGCAGGTCATACATTAAAAAAATTTCATTAAATTCTTTCCTCTTAGACATTGGAGTGGTGCATTTAAATGTTATAGAACTAAACATGTTAAATTGGTGAGTAGTAGGAGTGTAAGTTTTTAACCTGTCAAGTTTTTTTTTAGATTTTTTAAATTACAATTTATATTTTTCCAAGCACACAACAGTTTAAAGCAAAGTTTAGTTTGAAAAGAATGTGCAGGAATGATTGAAAGGGCTGTAAACCCAAATTACATGTGATACATCATTTGCAAGCTAAAGCCTTCTAGTTTCTGAATATATATAAATTATAAAATTGGAACACAGTAGAACACAGACCAAGCTGCATCAGTTCAAACATTAATCAAAGTTGGGTTTTTTTATTCTTGAAAATGATAGGTCATTTTTGAACATCAGTAATAAAGACATGCTTGAGGAAAGGCAGGTCTCATTGTATTAAATTTGTTCTACATCATGTCAACCACAAATGCAGAAAATATCAGACCTCTGGCTGCAGCAGTTCCAGAGCTGTGGGACTTTGAACTTTTGGCGTCACCAGCGTCTCCCAAAATCTCCAAATTGTGCCAAATGCTTTTACTGTGCTTTACTATTTGACCCATAGAATAAAACTGAAGCTTTTTGATGACAGCAAAACCTTTATTATGAAGCAAGTATTTTCCAAAATTTTTCTCAAAATGTGTATCCAGTATAACAAAATGTAGAATTTTTACAACTATAATGAAATAAAAATCTATAAAAGACAGTGAAACTGCTGCTTTTCAAGCTAAAATAAGCCGTAGTGCCTTTTCTCACCTGTATTTTTTTTCCATCCTTAGGCATTGTAATAAAACAAAATCAGCGTCCAAACTTTAAAAAAACGGACAGTTTTTATTATTCAGCTTGGAGCTGTGCGCGTTGATCCAACTGCCTTGTCGCCTTGTCTCTCTGACACAAGCCGGTAACACGGCTCCCCTTCGTATAACTCAGCCATTTGTAGGCTGGTTTGAAACCTAATTTTATTGGCTTCAAAGCCAAACAGCCC